GCCAAGAGATCATCATGTTAATGAACATCTAAACTGCACCAAAATAGAAATGCACAACAGTAATGAAGGCAAGAATTTGTCATGTCCTTCGTATTTGGTGTCAGTCTTTATAGCAACAGAAAAGATTGACGTTGTTGATTATAAAAACATTTTTAACTATGATCAATCCAACTAAGTGACGGAATAACAATACAGACTTCTGTAAAAGAGGCTCACAATCACTATAGTAACCTGTTGCTTTTTTCTTTCTTTCTGGTGTTTGCGTCACTGTCGGTGAGAATACTGTTATAAAAGCCAGTCTTAGGAGGTACAGTATGTAGCCATCGGAGTCCATTTAAAAAATAAGGAAGCAAGAATGAAGTCCAAAATAAGAAGTGTGCTCAGGTAGGATTTAGAAATGTGATATTCAGCACTGTATATGCTTTCACTGTGTTCTTAGTGTAAATATACACTTTTCACATGGTGATTGAAGACGGCACAGTTATAAAAGTCTTGGGAATGGTCAAAGATGACCTTGAAGAGAAGTCTTCAAGAGTTAGAGTCTGTGAATCAGTAAAGGTATAATACATTCTGTTTAAAGTTTTTGCTTTTATAAATAGCACACTATGAAAAGCTATCCTGCCTCTGGTCCCGCTCTAAATTATTTGTGTTTAATCCTGAACCTCACACCAGTGAAAATCTTTGAGTAGCCTTTTAAGGGGCTAAGGGGTTTTCCTGATGTTTTGTCTCCACCGTAATAAAAGTTGTCTCTCCAAGGTGAAAGGCCAGTACATTGAGGTGCCACATTAATTCAGAGGAGTGTTCAAGTCCTAGAAGCTGTGTTATCCACTTACCTTCTCTTTGCCAGGATCTAAGTAATTTTAAGTGCAAGAAGCATATGCTGTTCTTTCCAATCGCTTCTGCCTCCCCCTCTTTATCACTTCTCTCAGACTCAGAAGCTCTTCAGCTGTTATACTGTACAGTCTCAGGTGGTTCCCAGACTTCCCTCATTGGAAATAGCACTTGTTTCTATTATCACCTAAGAGGAGGACATTTAGGTAAAGCAAATCAGAGAGACTGTCAGTCATTCCCATGCGAGTCAAGTGATGCTAATTCTGGTCCTCTTTTAAGTGACACAGCTAAGCTGTAGGTAAAAATGGGCATTAGATCCCAGAACCCACAAGCAGCCTTCAGGCGTCCTTGTAATATGTTGTAAATTCATTCATCAGGCAACTGCGATCAGCTTTTGTTTTTTTGGGAACTGAGCAGTATTTGGGTTTAAGTTTTAAGCAGAAAGAAAATATTGGTGCACTGTGTGCATGGAATTATATCTGACAGCCAACTTCTCCTGGAGAGGCTTAGCTGTGGCACTTGGCACTAGAATAAATGAGCCTTCATGGATCAAACAGTGTTATGGTGGTTCTCCTTCTAGGTGTTTTGCTGTACCAGACCCATTATATCAGGAAAGTATACTGATAGTAGTAATGACTGTTCTTATCACATTTCTGTCTCAGGACTTATATTTATGAAGCTTTGTCAAGTCTCCAGATCTAAGTATGATTAAATAGGTAGGAGTGGCAGTTCAATGGATAATCTTATAATACTGAAGAGCTTATGAACTGCTCTCAAAGCTTTGGCAGTATATTTACAATTAACTGCTGGGCTCTCACACCTGAAAAAGTTAAAATTATTAGTTTTGTGCATAGGCACAAGTGTTTTGTGGTTGAGTGTAAGTTTAGCTGAGATACCATAATATGAATCTCTTGTTAGTGCTGGGCCTTTGCACTTAGTATCTTTGGGTTTTACAGATTGCTGTTTGTTTGCCAAACCTGAAGGAACTGTGTTTTTTGTTTCTAATTTGGGACTTTTTTTCTTGCTATTCCTCCGATTTGGAGTTGCTGTAGTTGAATCTCTAACCCTCATACTAGAGTAAGAGTCATACCCATTTTCAGCATACAGTATGTAGTGTTTCTTTCACACTGCTTGGATGAAGTGTGAAAAACACTACATACTCTTCAGTGCAGAGGTTCTTAGATAATACTACAGGCTTGAAACTGCCAGGCTGCTGCGATCACTGTGGTGCAACAAGGTAAGATTGTGTCCAGCAAACACCCAACCCAATCTGATCCCTGAGAAATCCTGGTTACAGTATGCAGATGGCCTATCTTAGACCTCAACCAGCGCTGCGAGTAAGTACTTTTACTAGTTGAGCCCCACTTATTTAAGTGCCACAGTCTGATGCTTTTAGCCCAAAAAACATTCCTACACCTTTATACAGCTGGGCATTTTACTAAAGCCGATCAGAATAAAAGATCTGACTCAAGTGTACAAGAACAGTGCCGGACCAGATATTAAGCTACTTCTCTAAAGTGTTGCCCATTATGCCCAAAAAATTTAAACTATAACTAAATAAACTAAAAAGTATAGAAACTAAAAAAAAGTCTGTAGCAAAGAAACATTACATTTATTATAAACCTGACTTCCATTTTTATATGTATATTTTTTTGGCTTGGAATTAAGGTAGTTCAGCTCAGGCTGTCAGCAACAGAGGAACCTTAAAAAAGCAACAGAATAATTACAGCTAGTAGCTGTTACGTATATGGCAGACTTTTGTATTTTCCATATACCAATCCTTGCTAATTTAGCAGTGGAAAAAAATGCTATGTATTCTGTTCTGTAAGAGCCAAAAGGGTTATAGTTAAGAAAATAAATTCGAAAATAAAATGTCTTGGTTAAATTATGGCGAAAACAAGGATCATGTTAAAAAAAACACTTTTTGTTGTGAAGTATATCAAATTGTTAGACCACTATTTTGAATAATAAACAAAACATTCTGAAGATATTGAGTTATAGGTGCCATTTCATTGCCTTTGTTTTCCATGACAGAGCAGTACAGGTGGAGGAATGTGGGTTATCCTGGGCCTGGCTGACAGAACTGTAATGTGAACATGTTAAAAGCAGCTCCCATAAAATTGAATGTCCAATACCGAGCAGTCCATCTGAATTTTTATCAATGTTTTCATTTTACTGCCAGAAACAAACAGAAAAACTAAGATACTTTTAGAGTTAAGTGGCTTATTTGAATTACAAGAAGGAGAGTGGGGCAATTTTGTCCTTGATATCATTACGATCTGTGCCGCACTTTAGCTGGAATTAACATAATAAGAGATGGGAGAATGCCGTAGCACACATCCTAGTTCACATTATTTCTCTGATACACTCCCAGAAGGCTTGAAATTGTAGCAGAATTTAACCAATCTAGGTCAAAAGCGTTTCAATTTTCCAGTTGTAGGACATTTATAGAGAACAGTCTTATTCACCGGAGGTTCAGAATGACTGAGTATGCTCTTTCCAACAGAACTCCCCAACTGCTTCTGAAGGATGACAGGAAGTTAGAACTAGCGCCCAATTATCTAGAATGCATGTGTAAGATGCCTAATAAAATAGCCACAGAGGATTTTTTTTCTTTCTTCTTAGTAATACTTGCAAACGCAGACAGACAAGTGGTACAAAGAAATGTTTGGCGGCCGCAATATTGTCTGTAATTTCATAACGGTGGGGAGATTGAGGATTTTGGATCCGATGGTATGGATTTCAATTTTAACTGTCGTTTTGTGGTTGTACACGAGGACCAAGAGCTAATTGGCTTTGTCCTCTGCGGTTGGGTTGGGGTTGGATTTGGGGGTTCAATTTTGAATAGGGGACGCTTTGATCTGCAGGCAGTTTTTAATTAACACTCCGGGACTTTCCTGCCAAGTCATCCAACATCTAGGTAGAGCTTCACTTACTAAAAAGACTTTAGGGATCTGCATGGCTCCCCTTGGATTGTATTGAACTAACTAGCAGGCAGGCCTAACTTGCAAATAATTATGCAAGAATATGTATATTACAAACTTCAAACATCTGCAGCTGTTCTCAGTAAAACAACATAAAAAAGCTATGTGGTATATTATTTGGTCTACAATAAAGTAATTTCTTGGTTTCAAGTCCAAAAAGAATATATTCCGTGGACATTAAATTAAGAATAAGATGATTTGGTAGGAAAAATATTAGGCAACAGTACATTTACCTTATTTTTAATCAGGGGATGTATTTTACAGTTGGGTAAAGAGCTTTTAAAATCTTTGTATTGTTTAGCTGTTGTCTGTTAAATGACATCAAGTAAACACATGGGCAAGACTAAGCTGCTACTGTAGTTTCAAATTGTACATAAAATCTGTAACTGTTTTACAGACAAAGTTTGTCGTAGACTTTAAAATGTAACTACAGCTATTATTATTACTCTTTTAGTGTGAATGTCATGCTACATCTCCTGTCAGGTGATTTAAAAGCATAGTAATGCCAAGATATTGTTTATGTTGGAAGAAATATGTTGCAGTGTTGCACTCTTAAGTAGTAGAATTTGCTTTTCAGCAGCATAAACTGTTGGCCTCCAGGTAACAGTTTATGCTACATTGGCAAGAAAATGTTTTTTCCACTTAGATTTCTGCATATGTATAAAGGCTGCACCTGTTTTGCCTGTAAAGTAGGAAGTGCAGCAGCAGTATTGAAAGAAGGGATGTTTCTGCTGTGGCGTTTATCTTTCAGGGTTCTTCTCTTGATCTTTCATTCAGGCAGCATTCAAAATCCCCGCAATGTTCAACTTGGGAACTTGATGTGTCGGATTTGAATTTGTCAAGAATTGGGGTATTTTGACCTAGAAACGTGATACAATTTTAACTTTTTGTGCTAACTGAACTGGACAGAATTAGTTTACTAAGAAACACCTTTTCCAGATCACATATTTCGGATTCAAATACCAAATTATAAATATCGTCATCATTTCAGTTCTGTTGTGAATGTACAGTATTTGTAGGAAAGGCTTTATTAAGCTTCCAACATCTTGCTATTAGCAATGCTCTCAATAAGTACTTAACTGTGGCATCATTCCATAGTTTTTGAAACCCACGGCCTTTCTCTTAATCGTGTAATTTGTCCTCACTTTCACAGTTTCATTGTATATCTTTCTCTTCCTTTTGCAGGTTGCTGTTTTGTAACATTTTATACAAGAAAAGCTGCACTTGAGGCACAGAATGCACTGCATAATATTAAAACCTTATCTGGGGTGAGTATGTTTACTTTAAACAGCACTTATTTATCATTATCTGTCAGGTGTGTAGAAATTGATAAACTCTGAAGGAGTATTACCTAATTTATCTTTCCTGAAGCTACATTCTTGGTACACATTGCACATCCCCTGCTTTCGATAGCTTAGGATACAGCGTGCCTCTTCACCACCCTCAGGGCCCAACATAAAAATCCTCCCATTAAACTAATGGCTCGGTGTTTTAGCACACATGCTCCAGAATTGCAGGCTCGTGGTTTCATAAGTGGCTTGGGGCTAGGCTGGCAAGTCGTAAGTCTCAGATAAGAACCCTCAGACAGGCTGCCATTCTTCCAGAAGAGTAGGTGAATCTTGTTTGGTTAAAGTAATTCCTATGGAAACAAGAATGTGCTTCTCAGCTCCAGCCATGAACACATGAAAAATGCTGTTGGAGCTTGCTTGCTTGCATGTGGAATATGAAGTCAAAATAATACAGTTTGAAGGCTTCTAATTTGCAGGTCAAATACTGAATGCAAATATATACAACTGCAATTCTGATTTTTGTATGTTGTACTCTGTTAGCCCTTAACTGAAGTCCTGATCTTACTATTTACAGTTGAACTCTTTCAACCAAAAAAGTCTCATTTAAAGATGCTTTAGCATTGGTTACTAATGGAGGAATCCCTCAGCACAATATCAATCTCTACTGTCTCTTTCATTAGTTTAGTGTTTAAATTATCATTTACAAAACTGCCAGCTCTGATTAACGCAACAGAATATCATTTTGTTATTAACCGTTTGAGACTAGGAAGACCATTGTTCAAAATGCAGCATAGCACTGTGCCACCTAAGTAACATGTACTTAATCATCAAATAAAAAAATTGACAATAATATGCGAGACAAACAGTTATAAAAAAATGAACAGATGCCACACACTTAGGGAATGAAAGGAAAGTTCTCTTTTTTTCTCAGTGTTATTGTAACGCTGAGATACAATAACTGAAGATTTAAAGCACTGGCTGTCACTTGTTTACTGTGACAGAATAAAATTTAATTTTACAATCTTTAAAACTTTTAAGTCTTCATGAAATTTTTGTGAAAAAGATGTAAAGCATCAAGTCATTCCACTTTATTCTGACCTTGCTTAAATATCTCTTTGTCGTTCTTATAATAGATGTAAAAATAACTTTGGTTTGTCTTTGATAAGCTATTGAAAACTTTGGAGTCCAGAGTGGTGGCTTAAAAGAAATATCTTAAAGGCATGTAATAAGGAACAGAGCAAAACCAATACCAAGTGATTAAACTAAACCTTTTTTTCCTTGTAAAGCGACCAGTAAGAGATTTTGAGTCCTATTCTGAGACTACTTTTTTTCCTTAAATAAGGTTTAGCTGAAGTGTTACCCAAGAAATAAAAATCTATATAATGGAACAGGAGATTGGCCTCACTTAAGGAGGAACTCATAGAAAGGTAAACCTCAGCCACATCCATAGTGTTTCAGTCCATTTGATCAGCACTAAAGAACGTACAAGGTTAGAAATGAAAGGAGGCCATTCAGTGCATTCAGTGCCTGTTTGGTAGTTATTCGCTAATTGATCCAAGGAGCTTGTCCATTTCTTGAACGAAACCGGGCTTTGGTTGGCTGGTTAGTTAGTTCCTCACTCCCACAATCCATTGGGAAAAGTGTTCATCGTTTTAGATGTACTTATACTTCTTCAAAACTCCTGACGTTTGCAACAAACAGGCCAACCATTCATGTTCATAAATATGGAGTTCATTGTGACTGTGACAAAGAAAAAATATTGTACTTTTTTTCATGATGTCTTTGTCTTAGCTTTTTGAAATTCAGTAATGGTCTACTTACATTTATAACCAGAGACGGAAAAAAAATAATAGGTAAATAAGTTAGACCAACCCACCAAAACAGAAAAGAACAACAACTGCAAAAAGGAAAAAATATAGAACAATAAACCTCTTTTCCTATTTACTTTTCTTATTTGCTCTGCAGTTAAGAAACAAAGATAACTGTTCTGTAACCAGAGTGTACCACTCTATCAAACAGGCAAGGTTGTTTAACATTTTCCAGTAAATTTAACTTTCATTAGTGCTTGACAGATGTATAAATTGACAGCCTTCTTTGGCTGTTAATTGTCAGGAAGCCTGCTGTTGTTCTGTACTCTTTTATATTAGGGGTATAAAACCGATCTAGGACATGTCCTTTAAAGTACCCTCCAGCTGTGAACACTGCCTTGGCAGTAACATAATGAAAAAATAACTTTGATATCGCATTACTCCCAAGGTTCTTTAGTTCTCCTTTCATGAAAAGTGAAAATATTTCAGACATGATCGTTCAGCCATTGATCCATGTTTAATGCAGGTGTCTGCAAAACCAATTGTGGTGTGTCACAAAGTTTGATTATAAAACTGGCATTAATCAAAAAGTCACAATTCTGAGCTAATGAACACACCTGTTTTCCCACTGAACTGCATGGCCATTGCATAAATTAACTGAATTCATACTGGGCCAATCGGAAAATTCAGTGCTTCAGTGGCATCGAAATTGCTTTTATGAATAACGTGTAAATCCAGACTACACATTTTATTATTTAGGTATGATTTAAAACTTTGCAGCAGCCATTTCCAATTATATGTTAATGTGTTGAAAATGATTATGGAGACAGGGAAAAGTGGGCATATAATATCCACATTTATTGATTAATTTTAAAGTTGTGTGTATATTATATGTACACTTACACTGCCCTGTCACTATTAAATGAGAACAATGGATTGTGATCAGCCTTTATTTCAATCAAATAGACTGAATTTATTAATATTTGTAACCTATCATTCACCAAGATTTCAGACAAGATTTGAACTAGAGAGGTCAACTAATAAAAGCTATATTATGGCCTGTCTCAGCTTGTCCTAGAGGTGGAAAATGATCAGGTTTGGATGTTCCAAAGGATGACTTTTCCACAGCTCTTTATCCACATGTTTGTTTGCATTCACATCGGGACTCGGTGGTGCCCGTGAAAGAATCTGGAAACCGCTGGACATTTTAAACCAGCAGAAGTGGTATATATCTGTCCTGGACTTGGGAGGACTACTTTCAAGTTCTCCAAGAAACTCCTGTGTATCTTGAGATATTTCTGGGAACATATGGGTGTAAAACAGCAGAAACGTAGGTCTCTGCCAAGTAATACTCAAGAGCTAGAGCAAAAACTTCCTTTGGCAAAACTCAGACCCACCACTAATGCAAGACCTTGCTGATGAGATGACTTCACAGATTCTAGCACTGCAGATGCCAAAAGACAGGCTACCAGATGTTAGTACACTCAGCCCATTTGTTTATGGCTGTATCACAGAATGAGTTGCTCAAAATCAGAGGTGATCATTTAATTGTAGCAGAGAGCTTAGCGTTAAAAAAGGATGTGTTAATACTTGTTTATATAACATTGCTCCATTTACTAAGTGAGTTACAGAAGTGACACCATCCTCCTCTGAACCTAAACATTGTAAAACTGCTGTAGCAGAGGACTTGTCTCTTGGTGTGGCAGAGTTAACAGCTGTCTAGTGAGTAGCAATGTATAGGTTACAGTGTGAGTAATAAATAAATAAAATTAGTTATTTGATATACAGTATGTTTATATAAGTGCCTTGCAAAGTATTCAGACCCTTCCTATGACATTCCATTTTATGATATTACAAAATGAAGACTATTCAGAATAACAGAATGAATAACATTCAGCCAGTGAAATGGGGAAAAGGAGGCAATCCTGCCTAAGTCCGCTTTGCTTATAGAGCCTTACAAAGAAAACCCCAAAGTGATATCTTTAGTACTCTTATATAGTAATATAAGTGCTTACACTTACATAGAGCTTTTCTGGACATTCCACTCAAAGCGCTTTACAGGTAATGGGGACTCCCCTCCACCACCACCAATGTGCAGCATCCATCTGGATGATGCGACGGCAGCTACAGTACGCCAGAACGCTCACCACACATCAGCTATCAGTGGGGAGGAGAGCAGAGTAATTAAGCCAATTCATAGATGGGGATTATAAGGAGGCCATGATTGGTAAGGGCCAATGAGAAATTTGGCCAGGACGCCGGGGTTACACCCCTACTCTTTTCGAGAAACGTCATGGGATTTTTAATGACCACAGAGAGTCAGGACCTCGGTTTTACGTCTCATCTGTAGGATGGCTCCTGTTTACAGTATAGTGTCCCCATGTGGACCGCAGGGTGAGCACCCCCTGCTGGCCCCACTAACACCTCTTCCAGCAGCAACCTTAGTTTTCCCCAGGAGGTCTCTCATCCAGGTTCTGATCAGGCTCACACCTGCTTAGCTTCAGTGGGTTGTCAGTTGCGAGTTGCAGGGATATATGTCTGCTGGCAATAGTATATTTTTTGTGTGTGATTTCAGGAGTAATACATGAATGCAATAGCAAACAGACTTTAAAACTTAACTGACAATATAATATTTCAGGTTATCTTATGTATTTAATGTGATTTACAATATATTAAGATTTTCAGGTTATCCACCATCTTAAGGTACATCTCTGATTCATTATCCTTTGTAATATATTTTTATATATTGGTTGATATTGCCTGTGCAGTTTTTGTTCCGTTTAGACTTTTTTTTGTAAAGTAAATGGTTGAGCAGGAAATTGAACTGCTTGCTTAATACATAAATCAGTACTTAAAGACCCTTTATTGCTGCAGTGTCATTAATTTTAAAATTTCACTAAAAGGGTACAGTTGCATTTTAGATTTACTACAGAAAATCTTGTTTTGGATCTCAGTCATAAATGGTAAGTATGATATTCTGACTGGACTAATGAAAGCTTGAATGTCTTAAAATTCTGCATTTTCTGCAGAAATTTCAAGATCTGCCACTCTGTAGAAAGAATATTTTAAATATTTTAAATCAAAAATAATGTTTGACCTTCTGACTATTGTACATCGTGATAGAGACAATAAAGGAAATTAATTAGGAACATGACATAAGTAGAATTCGTC